CCCTAGGTACAGTTTTTTTTCTCTCTCATCAAAACAGAATATGTCCATCTGTGGTTACAGTCAATATCAAGCATAGGACACATTTATTTTGTGATTTTACCGGAATGAATAGAGTCTCCGACGTAAAGGCGATTAAAGTGCGCGTCCGAGTGAAGACTGCGCGCCACAGAGAACATAGCCTACAACTGACAGCAGCGGCAACAAGCGTTCCTCTTGATTTCAAAAACAAAACATTTTAGCGCTAGATCTCTTATTTAAACGAACTAAATTAATGCTCTGCTTAACAGGATATGTTTTATTCATGTTTAAAACGTTTTATTTTCCGATATATGGTGACTCAAGCACTGATGGATCGAGGAGCGGTCCATCAGTAGAGTCACCATATCGGAAAACATTTGGAATGGGTCAGACATAGCCCACAGTAATTCTGACTTATTATGTTTTTTAAAAGAATTTCGTTTTTATAAATTGTATTTCATTTTAATCAATCATTTTAATCAACAAGTTGACTGATAAATTCTCAGAAAATGGATTTAATACCAATATTTTGAAACGGTGCGTAATTCCGACAGCCCCCCCCCCCCCCCCACCGGGAATCCCGCCCCCCCTCTCACAAAATAGTTCCAACGTCCCTGCCTGTATATATATAAATATTCATTTTACAGCTCTGACTGATTTTAAATTGTAATTTTGGCCTCCACTGAAATGTGTCGTAACATAGAAAACCCATTTAAAGTGATAGTTCACCCAAAAATACATTTTCTGTCATCATTTAGGCTACTCACGCTCATGTTGTTCCGAATCCAAACCTCTATGAATTTTGTTTCTTCTGTTTAACCCAAACAGTTGATGGACCCCATTGACTTCCTAGTATTTTTCCATACTGTTGTAGTCAATGGTCAACCATCATTGTTTGTGTACCCATATTCTTAAAAATATCTTATTTTCTGTTCAAGTGAAGAAATAAATTCATACAGGTTTCGAAAAACTTGAGGGTGAGAAAATTCATTTTTGGGAGAACTGTCACTTTAAGGACGTGCATTTATTATTTACGGAGCAGGAACATGACGTAATGTGTAGCCTAATAGGCTACAATGGATTATGAAAGTGGCACTGAGACTTCATTCATAAGTGAACACACCACGAGACAGAGAAAGAGAACAAATAAGAACACTTTCTTACTCAGTGGAGAAAAGTTTGTTTGGGGTTGTTTGTACTGTCAGTTTATTCTGTGGTAGCCTATTATATTATTATAATATTAAGTAGCCTATTTTGTTGATTAACATTTATGGAAAATAACACCTACGATAATTTTTATAAGGAGAAGTTGAGTTTATGTTTTAATAATAGCCTACAGTTAGGCTATTGGTACAAAACAAGACTTCATTAATATGTTGGTATAGGCTACATTATATAATGTCTTTCAATTAAAGCCAGGCACTTTAATTGCAAGGAATTTGCCCTTAAATGTCACTTTTACTTCGTTGATGCACATTACTAGTCTTGTGATGAAGTTGATTCACACACACACACACACACACACATTTTTAAAACCGAGAACAGAAGAAAAACAGAATATACATCTACAATGGCATTGGTAAATAAATGTGTATTAAGCAAGGCACATATCAGTTTAATATATTAATCTTATAAGAGATCAAGGTCTCTTGTAATTCCAGCCAATTTCTGGGCCTTTTTAAGAAATTACAAATCAAGTCTCTTTTAGATACAGAAAAATAAGGTTTCGTCTTCATACATTTGCATTAATGACTGAAAAATTTGCCCAGAACCAACATTGATAACCAACAAGACATATGTTCCCCAAAAAGTATTTAAAGAAACACAATTAAAAAGAAAGGAAAATCCATGTCTCTATGTCAACTTGACAACAAGTACAGGCATTTTCTTCTAAATTAAACCGTTGTCCAATTGTGTTTGTAGTCTTTTTTTATATATATATATTTTATATATATTTTTTACTAGTTGGAAGTTTATAGATTTTTTTTTTATTCAATGCCTTAAGAACAGAGGTATCACGTATTCACAATATTACATTCACTGCCAAAAAGAGAGAAAAATAAATAAATAAATAAATACAAAATGACATAAAATCAAGTGTTTTAAGCATTACATGTTTTCATTGCTTTTTTGTTTAGGTTGTTCCAAAAGATGTACCTATAATTTAAAGTCATTTGTAAAATGTGGAAAATTTGGTTTACCTTGAGCCCACTTCTTTTGGGATATGTGGGATCTTCCTAATAAAATAAATAACTGTATAATATGCTGTTCTTTACATTCCAAATTGTCTCTCTGCCACATCAAAAACACAAATTTCCATCATACACTTCAGTTATAAAGGTTTCTAAATCTTTCCAAAATAATCTTGAGTAAATACAGTGAAAAAAACAAATGTAAAATTGTTTCTTTCTCTAGTGCACAGAATTCACACGTATACGAAATATTAAGATTAAATCTTTCCAAAACATGTTTAGCAGTATAAATTCTGTGAAGTATTTTGTAAGACATTTCTTTAATTTTGTTATCGACACAAAACTTATTTGGTAATTTCCATGCTTTATCCCAAGAGATATCTGTTTGTAATCTTTGAACAAAAAATCTGAAAAGGAAGGGTATGTCCAGAGTCATGGAGAGAGATATGTATAATATATAGAGATATGTATAATTTATCTCAATAGCCATATGGCTCTGGCTACGTCCCCTCTAGAAGGGCCGTCCTCCGCTGATGACGTCAGTTTGATGGCCTGTTTGTGTGTGTGTAGAACATTCCTCCAACTGTCAGTCAGATTCAGAATGCAGGGAACACTGACAGCGAGCTGAATGGAACGAAATGGAACTTTTAGAACTTTTCAGTCTATTCCAAACGCGAAACTCATGCACTTCTCTCATTATATTCCATTATACATCATAATCCTGAAGTAAAGTAGGTCACAACTTCCGGTTCACGCACAAGTCAAGCTCCCAGACAATTTTTTTGTGTTACAAAAATAGCTCAGCGACAGTTGTTTCCACACAGTCACATGTTGTGTATTTTAAAAGCTGAACTTAAGACCCTCGGCTCGAGGGACAGTTGCAACACCGAGTGCTTTCTTTGACATATGTCTCAGAGTAATCACCATGAGCCATTCTTTGATGGACTTGCTTTTATTACCAACTCGGCTAAGTTTATGGATTCTCTCTTTGGTGTATTATATCGTTGTCTATGGCACAGCTGGAATCACTGCTTGCTTGGTTTTGATCCGAATTGCCTGGACTGGATTTAGGGATCCATCTAGAACTTTTCAATGGACCATCCGAAAGAAACCCCCAGACTGCCTCCAAGACCCTGCACTTGGTCACCATGCATATCTGAAGGGCAGGGTGAGATGATTCATAATGAACAAATGTGAACAAGAATTTATCTGATGCCTTTAAAAACATAAAACAACGTAATCTGTGACTGTGCGAGGTCGTAATGAGAGGTGAATGAACGAATATCTTGTGTTCTTGCGCCACCTGTGTTTAAAAATAGAACACGGCGTTCACTATATATTTCACATTCCTTTGTTTTTAACGGGACACACAAGCCCTGTGATGTTACAGTCTATGTCAAATGGCAATATTGCCGTCTTTCACCAAATTATGTCTTTCTTTCTTTACTATCAAATAACGTTTTGTAACTTCTTTTGGTCTTTCCTTACGTATTAGAGCTCAGGCTTGAGGTTTCATTATGTAACTAAAGGAGACCCCATAAGCCTCTAATGCTGTTTCTTCATGGATTCCCAGAGAACTGGGGACTTCTTCTAATTCATTTTCCCTTTCTGCTTATTTACAATTGTACATATGGTGCTGTAATCGCTTTTGTGAAGTGTTTTCTACATATTGTTTTCTTATTGGCGGACTGAGTACACAGCTAAGCTACTTGAGGAAAAGGTACCCCTTGCTGAATTTTACTCCAGTACAAGTAAAAGTACTACTGGTGTCTACTTGAGTAAAAGTACTGAAGTAATTGTTTTTAAAAGTATTGAGTATCAAGATTACATTTTCTGAATATTGCATTACTACTGCCACAGTGCTTACATGTACAGAAACGTCCTATATGGATTTATGAAAGATGTTTTGCAGATGAAAAAACTTTTGCTGATAATTTACTCACCCCCATGTCATCCAAGATGTCCATGTCTTTCTTTCTTCAGTCGAAAAGAAATTAAGGTTTTTGATGAAAACATTCCAGGATTTTCTCCATATAATGGACTTCAATGGGAACCAAACGGTTCAAGGTCCAAATGAGAGTTTCAGTGCAGCTTCAAAGGGCTTTAAACGACTCCAGGCGATGAATAAGGGTCTTATCAAGCGACACAATCGCTCATTTAAAAAAATAAAATAAAAAAGTTTAAGTTTTATAAGCTCAAATGCTCGCCTTGCTCTGTTCTGTGAAAAGCGTTCGTGACTCTCCAGTTCAAACGAATCTTTTTTCGAATAATGACTCGAAGGGTCCTTGATAAGACCCTTATTCATCGTCTGGAGTCGTTTAAAACCATTTGAAGCTGCACTGAAACTCATTTGGACCTTGAACAATTTGGTTCCCAATGAAGTCCCCTGGAACGTTTTCATCAAAAACCTTTATTTATTTTAGACTGAAGAAAGAAAGACGTGGACATCTTGGATGACATGGGGGTGCGTAAATTATCAGCAAAAGTTTTTTTTAAAAGTGAACTACTCCTTTAAGTACTGTACTCAAGTAAATGTACTCCAATACTGTCTGGCTGTGCTTATAGGTTAAAATATACATGTCTTTATTCTTTTATTACATCATAATTGATGCAGGAAGGAGATCCAGACAGATGATTAAGTCAAGTTTTATAATCCACTATTTTAAATTGTGATTACATTTCATAATATGGCAGTTTTTATCTGTATTTTTGATCAAATGAATGCATAATGAGCATAAGACACTTATTTCAAAAACATTACAAATAGAAATAGTTTCATTTGAGCACTAGTGTAGCGAGTTTGTGTGTTCTAAGGGTATCAGTGTGACCTGCAGGTACTCCTGGCGCTACCAAATAAATGAATTCAGCAGTCATTACCACACGGTGGCGCTAGATCTGCGCGGCTGTGGAGAGTCGGACGCACCAGACCGGCTGGAGGAATACTCACTGGAGACACTCATGACATCAGAGACACCATCGATGAATTGGGTAGGCCTGACTAAATCACAGTAAGTGTTGGGTAAGTTACTCTAAAAAAGTAATTAATTACTAGTTACTAATAACCTCTTCAACAGTATAATTAGATTACTGTAGCCTACTAATTACTCTCTCTAAAAAGTATTTAATTACTTTTAATTACTAATTACTTTCAAAATCCCATATCAGTCTCAACCAGCTGAATAATACAAGGATAGACATGAATCTGTTTTAATTCTTTCAAATAAATAATAAAATTGCATGAATTATCCCTAAACTGACCATGATGGAGAAGGTTACATTATAAAAACATACTTTTTAGCATCAGACTATACATTTTGATGTTAAACCCACTATTGTTTTATGTCTGATCTCATGACATTTCACACTTTTTCATACATATTTTACAATAATTCATACGAATTTGTACGAGTGCAGTCGTCATATTTAGATTCCTCATAAAATGCATACGAATCGCCGTGAGATCAGATTGATCTATACACAGTTTTTACCTCAATTACATCAGAAGTAACTGTAATTAAATTACAGATAAATGAAGAGTAATCCCTTACTTTACATTTTCAAGGGAAAAGTAATGAAATTACAGTAACTAATTACTTAGTAATTAGTTACACCCACCCAACACTGATCACAGTGTGAGAAATAAACTGCCTTTGGGATTTGTTAACTCACAGGTCACACGAGATGTATCTTGGTGGGCCATGACTGGGGTGGGATGCTGGCATGGCATTTTGCACTGGAGCGGCCCGACATGGTGCAGCTCCTCATCGTCATGAACGCCCCTCATCCTGCCTCATGGCTGGGTATGCCAGACAGGTCATTGTTTCACTTCTTTTTCTAAGTACTGCTTTGACTCTGAATCTGAAGTGAAATTGAAATGTGGTTACAGGCCATTTATACTTCTTTCTGTGAAACCCAGATGCAGTTTTGAGAAGACCATCTCAGCTGCTGCGCTCAGGACATGTATGTTTCTTTCAGTTACCGCTGCTGCCCGAATTTGTTTTGTCTCTTGAATATTTTAAGGTGTGAAAACTGTCTTGATGCTCAAACGGCTTGACTCTGTGGTTAACAGTTTCTGCTTATGTCTCGACACTTCTTTTTTTTAACTGCAACAGGAAACACTAAATACACGTTCTGGGTTCACTTCCTATTCCCAGTCTCAGGAGGTGCGTTCCATTCGACTGTAAGTGGACTGCGAAGTGGACTTCACAGGGTATTTCGCCATCCTTAGTGAGATTCCAATTCGAAGGGAACGAACATGTTCAGTTCGAAGGGCACTGCAAACTGCATAGGGAATAAGGGAACATCGATACATCACTTCACAGGAAGTCAGTGAAGTCCACTTCAAATGATATACCGTGTTCAGGGAGTAGGGAGCAGTGAACACTGCGTAGGGACCCTGTCGAATGGAACGCACCTACAGCTGGTTTCCGTCACTCATTATAAGTAATGCGAGTTATAATCCGTTTTTTTTTTCAAGTAACCAGTAAAAGAATGCATTGCTTTTGAATTTTCAACTTAATATGTTACATTTTCACATAATTAACACAAGTTCTGTGTTGTCAGATTCAGAAAACAGAATTCAGTATTCCTCAAAAGGAATGAAAAACTCAGAATATTACTATTAAAGGGATAGTTCACTTTGAAATTAATTTTTTGATAGATATTAGCTTGCCTCAAGGGCATCCAAGATGTAGGTGTCTTTGTTTCTGCAGTATTTTCAATTTTTATATTTTTAGGTCAAACCGTTCGTGTCTGTCAGTCATATAATGGAGGTCTATGGTCACCACCTCAAAGAGCATGCACAGAGAAGTCCAAATTAAACATGATTTAATGACTCGTAAATGGAAGTACACATTGATGGACTAAGACACGAAATGAGTGGTTTGTGTGAGAAAACGAACAGTATTTGTAACCACAGTACTCTTGTAACCACAGTCATGTTCAAGTGATCTGAGGGTCCCTATTCCCTTATAACCACAGCGGTTTGTGGCTGTGGTATATGATATAAATACTGTTTGTTTTCTCACACAAACCGCTCGTTTCGTGTCTTAGACCATCAATGTGTACTTACATTTACGAGTCATTAAATCATGTTTAATTTGGACTTTTCTGTGCATGCTCTTTGAGGTGGTGACCATAGACCTCCATTATATGACTGAGAAACAAGAACGGTTTGACCTAAAAAATATCAAAATTGAAAATACTGTGGAAACAAAGACACTTACGTCTTGGATGCCCTTGAGGTAAGCTAAAATATATCAAAAAATTAATTTCAAAGTGAACTATCCCTTTAGAGATGTTAAATAATACAAAAACACTTCATGTAGGCCCTATTTAATCCAATGTCTTTGCCGCGGACCTTCAATGATCCAATTCAACCATACAAATAATCTAAAATGACTTCAGATTTACATGACATTTGGGTTTCATCTTTTTGTTTTCATTGCTGAAATAATAGAGTTGAATTTCTTTTACTGCGTCCTATTCTTCTGTGACCCAGAAAGGTTTGTTTGAGCAGCGCCCTCTACTGTAAAGACCTACATTTTCATTTCGTTTTTTTGTACTTTTGGTAACTTTTGGTCCTTTTTGGTGCTTTACATTTACTTTATAAATAAAAACACGTGAGAAAACGTAATGCGAAAGTATTGTAACGCATTACTTTCCATAAAAAGTAACTATTAGTTACTTTTAAAAAAAGTAACTATTAGTTACTTTTTTAAGGGAGTAACGCAATATAATGCTTTACTTTTAAAAGTAACTTTCTCCAACACTGTGCATAGTTGGTTCGAGGTCTATTTTGTGGCACGAACGTGGGCATCAAGAACAAAGCCAGCAGACTGACGGAGTCCCAGCTGGAGGTCTCACAGCCCCTCTGAGCTACTTCCGCTCTCTCCTCAGGTTTAAAACACAGCACACTTCCAGCACACTTGAGCTTATACTGCAGTGCATTGCTTGAAGTGGTTACTGTGTACCTGTCTTTCTACAGTAACACTCTGTACAAGCATCAAGAAGTTGGTGTGCCCTGAATGTTAATTTGGGGTGAGGCAGACAATATACTGGTGGAGGGTATGTCCGGTGGAACGAGGGCTTACGTAAGGGGTCCCGTCGTCATTCACACGATTCCCGAATGCAGGCACTGGGTTCAGCAGGATCAACCTGAGATAGTCAACAAACTCATATGGGACTTTGTTCTGGAAAAAGACATCATAAAACACACTCATTGATTGCCTTTGGATCACTTGGCGCAATGACAAATATTTTTTTTTTCTCCGACAAGGTTTCAGATTTTCACTGAAAAACAAACTACGTGCCTTTAGACTGATTTGCCTTTTATTAATTAAATAAACAAAGGTAAGGGGGGAAATGTATGTTCTACAATCGGTAAATATTTGAAACTACAAATATATAATAATGCATTTTATGTGACTCTTTGACAAATGAGGACATCAAGGATGGTATATATTATAATATATCATAACTATGCCATAGCGTCTTTCCTTTTTCTTTAACTGAAAATCCAACATAGTTATCAAAAATAGCCTATGTAGCTTGTCACTTCCTACAATTGAATGTGACTAAATACAGTTTAACCACATCAAAATGCCTGATATGCTTGTCCCGTTTTTTTTTTTTTTTTTTTTTTTTTTTTTAGTATGTGAGTTTTGGACGGCATGTTAACTTCTCAATGTGTTTAATTATCTCAGCATTAGTGACACCAATAATCCCAGATTCTTGAGGATGATGCATACTGAACATATGATTATGATTATCACCGTTAAAAACAGAAACCTTTGTTGCACAATACAATTGAGATTCTTTCGAGGCCATTTTAGTCTGTCATCGTTAACATTTATTTTATAGTTTGTTAGTTTGTTTCACACATAAAATATTGCTTTGGAAGACGTTGATTATAGTGCATGTGTCATACAGATTACTTTTGTAATACTTTTATGGTACTTATATGATGGTTTTATGATGATTTGGAGCCAGACAGTCTGAGCAGGACATTCTACTAAATTGACCTTTTTTGTGTGCTTTCGTTTTCTGTTTCGTCTAGAAAATAATTCTAAATAAAAATTCATTTTGTTGTGAAGTCCTACAGTGATTATTGTAAAATCAATTTCTCTGTGACTTTCGTTATGTACTCACCTCATGTGGCAAGCCATATAACAGTATAAAAGTAGCCTGTAGTCACTATCCAAATACTTATAAGTTAAAGGTATACTTCACCTCTGGAGAGATGAATGTGTATTTAAAATGGGTCATTTAGAAGAAATGAATTTGGAGATTTTTAGACTGAGAAAAGCCATTTTTGGCTTATATGGATGAAAGACAACAACTCCCAGAATGCACTTGCTTCGCTGCCCTTGGAGGCCACGCCTACCGGTAACAGAGCGCAGTAGGTAAACAACAAGTCTAGGCTACTAGTGAGTTTCTGTGATTTCGAGATCGCCTAAAATGGCTGGGATTCGGCTTTTGCGTTCTACAGTCCAACGGCCGGACATGTCTGGGAAAAAGAGGATGGTAACCCCTACCACTCCGTTTTCTCCACAGAACAAGAGCCTGCTAGCTTAGCTTCCAAAAAACGATGGCTGACACTATGTGTTCATTACGTGAGTGAGATCACACCCTCTATGGGCGGGTTGAGAACATGCGGGACAGCCCCTACTACTGACTGTAGTCTTTAGCCTCTGGCCAAAAAATCCTCCGATGATGCAAAATGACGATTTTTGCGTCATCGGAGGATTTTTTCCAGACAAAAAAATACATAAATCTCTCCTCTCAGGGGGATATGAGGGTGGAAAGCATGGTAATTTGAAAAACAGGTTTTCTACTACAAAGCTTAATCCTGAAGTATCCCGTTAAGTAACATTCAGTTTTTACTGGTAGCAAGTAGTGGGTTTGTTTATTGAATTCTGAGGATCTGTGGTTCAGATATCAACTATTCATTTCAGTGTCTAGTAAATATGTTATACTGTCTAGTGACTAGTCAATTTGTAGGGCACAGTGGAACTAAAGGCGCAGTGGGGTAAAGGGCGCCTTTGATTTGATTTTCCTTTAAACCACTAGATGATTTTCATGATGCACATGGAAATTTGGCGGATCCTTGACGCGATCGCAGACAGCAGTGCAAAGTGGATTCTGTGCTAATTTGTTGTGTTGTAGGTTTAAGTAGCAAATGAAATTCACTTATTGAATATATTTTGAGACACACGTCTTAATGATTTTCAGTTTTTCAGAATCAACAGTTTTAAGGAGGAATATGTAAAGCAATGGGATTTGGTGTAAAAGGTGGCCTTGCTGTTGGGGCGAAACTGACGCACAATAGTTAACATGATAATAACAGCTGAATGACTTTTCCACTTGTTGACATGACATGGTAAAACGGGTGTTAAATTATTATGGGATCTTGTAGATTCTTTCAGAATCTTTTTGTGTATTTATTTATTTTAAATCAACATATTTTAGCATCAATATATTGAATAAAAATGAATTATTTTATTTATCAAAATAAACAGAAAATTGTACAAACTTCGCTAAAGTAATTATTTTGAACAAGTATTCATTTAAAGGAGTAGTTCACTTTAAAAAAAACTTTTGCTGATAATTTACTCACCCCCATGTCATCCAAGATATCCATGTCTCTCTTTTTTCAGTCGAAAAGAAATTAAGGTTTTTGATGAAAACATTACAGCATTTTCTCCATATAATGGACGTCATTGGGAACCAAACGGTTCAAGGTCCAAATGAGTTTCGGTGCAGCTTCAAAGGGCTTTAAACGACACCAGACTATGAATAAGGGTCTTATCTAGGGCTAGGACCCTTCGAGTCATGACTCGGAAAAAGATTTGTTCATTTTGATGAACGAGTTCGGACAGGAGAGTCACGAACGCTCATCACAGAACAGTGCAAGGCGAGCATTTGAGCTTATAAAACTTAAACTTTGTTATTTATTTTTTAAATGAGCGATCGTTTCGCTAGATAAGACCCTTATTCATCGTCTGGAATCGTTTAAAGCCCTTTGAAGCTGCACTGAAACTCTCATTTGATTGGTTCCCATTGAAGTGCAGTAGGCTATATGGAGAAAATCCTGGAATGTTTTCATCAAAAACCTTTATTCTTTTCGACTATAGATGGACATTACATGGGGGTGAGTAAATTATCAGCAAAAGTTTTTTTTTTTTAAAAGTGAACTACTCCTTTAAGTTTTTGGGTAAATACTTTTAAACAAACAAACCCCTTTTATGATTTATTTTCACACAAACTGTTGCTCCATCAATGTTCAATAAAAACATCAATAAATCATTTAGGGATTAATAAAAAGCACATTTTTCTTAAGGTGTGCCTTGTTTTACCCTAATAAAAACGTTAAGATTGACACTAACACGAGCGTGACATGATAAGCCATAATTGGATTAAGGAATAATTATAAAAACGGCTTGCCATACACGCTGTCTTGCAAAATTCTGGGAAATGAATCCACTATCTAGTTTCTAAACCTGTCGTCAAAGGTTTTGAACAATAGTCTCGTGTTCATTGGGTCTTGGGGCAGTGATTCCGTCAAATCAGGCTTAAGGGAGGTGTGATCTGATCTGCAGATCTCAGTCTTCTCTTGTTCCTCTCGAAGATCAAGATTTCTCATCGAACTCCTCCGCCAGATGAGCGTTTCCGGCGGCGAGTGCCAAAACATCGACACACAGCTGCTGTTATGTGTCTTTTCTTTGTTTGCTCTGAAACTTTGGCAACGGTAAGTGTGTTTCTCTAATGTTGTTTTAGAAGAAAGTAGTAGTTGTTTTTGTGCCTAGTGACAACAAAGCCAAACTGTACAGTGTAGGCTAAGTTAACGCTGCAGGGGCCAATAAATTCCGCGTGTTTCTGCAAGACATTTCGGCGTCTAGGTTTCACTAAACATCTCATTAACCGCAACCAGTTTTACTTCCCGTTCTCTAAAACCGATTCGATAAGTAGGCTTAAATTTGAGTAATTGTGATTGTAATGGGGCCAAACGTTTACTTTGCGGTTAATTTTTAATGTTTACATTTGTTAGTGCTCGCGTGTTGCGTGTCCAATGTTAATCTGGTTACCATCATTTCCCCTGGTTAAAGATTAACTTTTCCACTTGTCTTGGACTTGTACGGACAAATAACGATGCTGTCCTCATGCTTCCTGTGTTTTAGGGTTGGAAAACAATAAAAGACACGCCTTGTAAGCAGCAACATTGGCACACTTTTGACATGTAAAAGCACAATTTCAAATGGTGGCTAGTCGCATCTTTAGGACTACAGCATCAGGGAGAACTGGCGACAACTGAACAGCTCAAGGGATTTACATGAATGAATGTCTCTAATAATGCTGTTCAACTCTACCTGCGAGGCTTATGACAATCCTGTGTACTACTTCTACAACAAGACTGGCAAGAACATCAGCGCTGACTGGCGCGCGCACGACTATGTGGTGGTCGGTCTCGGGCTCCCGATTTGCATCTTTATTATCCTGGCAAATATGTTGGTCATAACGGCCGTAATCATCAACCGACAGTTCCACTTTCCCATTTATTACTTACTTGGGAACATGGCCGCCGCTGACCTCTTCGCCGGCATCTCGTATTTCTACCTAGTGTTCCACACGGGGCCGTGGACCATCAAGTTGTCCATCAAAGAGTGGTTCGTCCGCGGGGCCTTGATCAACATGAGCCTGACCGCCTCTGTGGTCAACCTGCTGGCCGTGGCGGTGGAGCGCCACCAGACCATCTTCACCATGCAGCTGCACAGCACCATGACCAAGTGGCGTGTGGTGATGCTGATCGTGTTCATCTGGTTGGTGGCCGTGGTCATGGGTCTGGTGCCCACCATGGGCTGGAACTGTGTTTGTGACCTGTCGACCTGCTCCACGGTAGCGCCACTGTATTCCCGCAGCTTCTTGGTGTTCTGGGCCGTCCTCAACCTCCTGGCCTTCTTCATCATGGTGGCCGTCTACACGCACATCTTCATCTACGTCCGCCGCCGGAATCGGCTGATGTCGCCTCACACGGATCTGCCCACGCACAACCAGACCGTTATCAGCCTCATGAAGACCATGTCCATGATTCTGGGTAAGGCCTTGACTCTTGTGTAGGCTTCGGGAGATTACTCCATCTGAGTGAAACTCTCCTAAAACCTTTTTTTGTTGTTGTTGTTGGTATCTCTAACTGTAGTAGGAGTACTGTTAACTTGTTTTTAGGACAAACAAGTCTGTCAACCCCCAAAACAAGTTAACCAAACCGGTTTGCTTGTCAAGCACTCGCTTGTTTTTGTACCTAGAACATGAATCGGTTATTTAAGTTGCCCTAAGGCTGTAGGTTGTGTTAACACATTGTGTTATTTTAAGGAAGTGTCCATAAAAATCAAATGAAATCTATACTTTATATGATATAGTAGAGAATGATTTACACACTTATTCTGAAGAATAATTAAATATGTTGAAAATATTCTAAAGAGTATCTTGAATTGGGAGTCAACATGACATTTTGAAGTTATATTAAAAACGTAACATAAAATGGTCTATAATAAATATCTTCAAATATAAAGCCAGACAAGGAACGATTAGTTCAGGTTGTAAAACAGCATGTTGTGATATTTATTAATTGAGAAAACACTGATAATCACTTTGTTCAGTATGTTTCTTAAGAAGTGTATGATATGAGCACACACTCAAAGTGTAAAGGAAAATATATTACTGCTCTTGTTACAATAAGAGTTAATTTTGTTAACATTATTTAATGCATTAGTTATTATACATTTTTACAGCATTTATTGATCTCGGTTAATGTTCATATCTACATGTACTAATAATTTTATTACATTTTGCTGCATAAATCATATGCGTGTGTGTGTGTGTGATTAAGCATATATTTGCTGCATAAGTTGTGTGTGTGTTTATGCTGCTCACCAAGGCTGTATTTATTAGATTTAAAATGCATTAAAACAGCATTTTTAATGCATATATATATATAATACATTTTTTTTACGTTATTAAATATCAATTTTAACCAACTATTCTATAATTTAATATATTTTTAAATTTAATTGAATTTTTTTAGATTTTTTATATTCATTTTTAGTTCTTTTTTTTTTTTTACCATCGCTTTTGATCATCTTTAACGCGTCTTTGCTGAATAAAAGTATTCATCTTATCTTACTGACCCTAAACTTTATAAATAGAAATGAAATGCTGGCAAAAATATTGGTCATTGTTAGTTTGTGACAATTTTACATTACGTTCGAATCATTTGAAACTTTGTCCGTGTGTGTGTGTGTGTGTGACAATTCCACTTTGTATGTCGCGAAATGTCTCATTTCAAAATTACTCTATAAAGCGTCTCACATGGTGTTGTAATATTTGGTTTGCACTTTGCAGGCTGCGGTGGTTTTCACATCAACGCTTTTTTTTTTTTCTCTCTCTACAGGAGCCTTTGTGATCTGTTGGACGCCGGGTCTAATGATTCTCTTACTGGATGGTCTCCGTTGCAGTGAATGTGAGGTTCTTAAATATGAGAAGTACTGCCTGGTTCTGGCTGAGTGTAACTCTCTAATGAACCCCATCATCTACTCGTTTCGGGACGAGGACATGAGGAACACTTACAAACGCATTCTCTGCTTCCCTTGGAGAAGAATGCGCCAGCATGAGGGGCCTTCTGGCATCCGCTTCGAGTCTGTGAAAACAGGGGCTCCCCCTGAGAAAAACAACTATAACTCCACCAGTTTAGAGCCCATTTCTGAACAAAGCCTATTGAAATGATTGAAAAAGAATTTCTCGTTGTAAATAAATGACTTTGTATTTGCTTAGTGAAATGATCACAGCGTGTACAAAGAGTAAATACTTCATTTTTGATAAGCTTGTTTTGGTGCGTGTTTTTGTCTCTTTAACAATAGATGTATTAGTGGTCTTTTGAGTCAGTTAGTTGCTCTGCTGCCCACAGGAAGTTTTTCTTTTCCCAAAGCACAAGCATTAATATTCATAAAATGGCCCTTTTTGGACCATTTTGTTTTGTTGGGAATGAGATCTGACGGATCAGGAAAAATACCAAGTCTAAAACCGACAGTGTGGTGCAGTTGTTTCTAATCAAATTTAGATTCTCATTGTGAAGTGCCCTTATAATTATGCTCACTAACAAGTTTTGAAATATGATCGAATACATTTACATCAGGGGTCTCAAACTCAAATTAACTGGGGGCCGCTGGAGATAGAGTCTGGGTCAGGCCGGGCCGCATCAAGTATTACATGAACTAGTTCAAAGTTCAGTTCACAAATTTTAAAATGAACTAGTTCTTTTTTTCCATATTTTGCTGCGAGCTTCTTTTTTATTATTAGGCTATTATTATTGCCACAGCCCATATACAACCACAGATAACAATCATTTTATCGACGGGCAAAGTTTGCACAGACATGTAAGATTTTCCCATCCTCACCGACCTCATAAAAGCCTTTTAAATGATCTTACGACGCCTCCTCGCTCCTCGGTTCACAAACACTTGAATGAACGAGTTCACTGTAACGTTCATCAGGCAGTAATACAGTAGGTTACGTTCAGTTCACGTTCGCCCAAAATATGAACGAGTTTATGAACTATCGTCATTGAACGCGTTCAGACACAACACATATTACAAGCTCAAAATGATTATTCTCACATTCATTGTTTTAGAGCAGGGGTAACGTTATCCAACACGTCGCTCGAGCTATCAGTAGCTGTGGCCTGATTTGGTGGTGGTAGCTCGCCTTATGCCTGTTCACATATCGCGCTCACATATTTTGCACGCTCAAGTAGCCTAGGTTTCAAATAGGCGCGCATCAAGCGCCGAGCGCGCTCATAATTGAAGCGACGCGCTCATTTTTTCCAGGCGCAGTATATTTGTACTTCGTGGTTGTCTATGACAACAAACCTACGGTAAGCTGTCACGAGACTACATATGGTAGCCCATAAGGGATAAAAATAATAATAATAAAAAAACGCGGCAAACGCAACGGCGGGCCGCACTAACATTAAACTTTAATATCAAGTAGGGGGCCACAAAATATCATCCCGCGGGCCGCGAGTCTGAGACCTCTGATTTACATGAAAGTTAAAGTTCAAAAAACATTTCTATCATATTCTACATTGTTGCAGCACCTCTTTTCTTGAAATGCTGTTTTAGATCCTGTCTCTTTAAATCCGCCTTTCCGAAAAGCCTAGTCTGCTCTGATTGGTTGGCCGCCCGGCCGGCCCAGTCTGCTTTGATTGGTTGACCACTTAGAGCGTGTCATGTGACTGGCTTCATTATGGCCATACAATGCTTTTTGCCTTCGTTATGAAATTGCATACTAAGTACAACATTCGACTTGATTTGGTAAAAAAGTATTAAATTTTCAATGTTTTACATCAGCTGGGTTGTTACGGTCACCAACAGCGTCAGTTGCATCGCTTCACCTCCATTCATAAATACTCTCCTGTGGCCTCATGGGATAGTGAACACTTATCTATCGCTCCTGCACTTTCTTAAAATTAATTATAGAAATTTAGATATTAAATTTAAAGCTGCTAAGTCCGAAGATCCCGAAAAAAGTCTGTTGGTGCTTCAGTGACTACTTCGCTCAGAGAACCTGTCAATCATGACATCACACCACCGCATCAAATAACTGACCACAAACAAACTTGCTTTAAAAAAACAAACACTTGAACTTAAATCAGCGTGATCGAAACTATAGTAAATGACAAACCGTCTTTGGAAAAAAGATATTTGAAGTGTAATTGAATTGTTAGTTGGTCTCACGTGCTGTTAAATAACATACGCCGATAGCACACATACATCACAGAAACGTCTATTTGATGTCCTATTTACATCTGGAAGACGTATTTTTAAGAGTGTTTGCTCATATGCAAGACGTCTATAGGACGTTTCCTGCAGATGTCAAATAGACGTTTATAAGATGTCTTTAAGATGTAATGATTTAGAATGCATGTTAAACTGACATCTTAAAGATGTTAGTAAACAGCAGATGCTTTCCAGATGAAGTGATCTTTAACAGACATCTTGCAGACGTATGCGTGCTATCAGGGTGGGGAGGCGGGGTTTATGACCTATACCCAGATAGCACAAGGCTGTTTGATGTCTTATTTACATCTGGAAGACGTATTTTTAAGAGTGTTTGCTCATCTGCAATACGTCTATAGGACGTTTCCTGTCAGATGTCAAATAGATGTTTAGAAGATGTCAGTTTAACATGCATTAATTCATTACATCTTAGAGACATCTTCTAAACGTCTATTTGACATCTGCAGGAAACGTCCTATAGACGTCTTGCAGATGAGCAAACACCTTAAAAATACGTCTTCCAGATGTAAATAGGACATCAAGCTGCCTTGTGCTATCTGGGTACTAGGACCAGTCTCACCGGGAGGGTGATCGAGACACTTTGGCTTCACTTTTTAGGGCTTGTGCGGCACGCTTGATTCAGACATACTACTCTGTTGGCGCACTGTTTATTGCATACAATAAAGTAGGAAAATATTCAATTTCGAACGCAGCGCTACTGTTTTTGAAAAATATGGCGCTATCCCAATTCAGAGGCTCCATCCTTTGAAGGCCCCATTCGAAGGCTGTCCCATTTCATTAGTTTTTCATGCAATGAAGGAAACAGATGGATCCTTCACAGCCTTGCCTCAAATATGATACAAATGTAAACCACCAAACAAACAAACAAAAAGAAGTTTAATGCGGTTCAAATATTGACATCCCAGATACCACAAGGCTGTTTGATGTCTTATTTACATCTGGAAGACGTCTATAGGACGTTTCCTGTCAGATGTCAAATAGATGTTTATAAGATGTCAGTTTAACATGCTTTCTAAATCATTACATCTTAAAGACATAAACGTCTATTTGACATCTGACAGGAAACGTCCTATAGACGTCTTGCAGATGAGCAAGCACTCTTTAAAATACGTCTACCAGATCAAACAGCCTTGTGCTATCTGGGCTGGGATCTTACTAAGATGTGAATATACCCCTGATAGCACACATACATCACAGAGACGTCTATTTGATGTGTGTGTTTACATCTGGAAGACGTATTTTTTAGAGTGTTTGCTCATCTGCAATACGTCTATAGGACGTTTCCTGTCAGATGTCAAATAGACGTTTAGAAGATGTCTTTAAGATGTAATGATTTAGAAAGTATGTTAAACTGACATCTGACGTCCTATAGAGGTATTACAGATGAGCAAACACTCTTAAAAATACGTCTTCCAGATGTAAACATTACATCATATAGACTTGTGCTATCTGGGAATATACAGTAATGGACCATGGTGAACACATTTAGACAGTTCGTGAACCCCGTAATGTTTTCAGACAGTTTATAACTTTCAAAAATGTCCAACACAAACGTTACTGCCGGTCGTCAACGGCAGCCCTCACAGTTGCTAGGCGACAAGAACAGTCCTCTGTAGGCTCGGCCCATTCAACAACGCTCGGTCTGACCTTCGAAGGATCGCACAAGTGGTGTATTCAAGTCAGGTTGAAAAGATTGTATTTACGGGTTGAGCGCACATGAATGCCACCACAAAGTCGTAAATACGAGCGGGAAGCTCGTAATTTTCTTTAACCCCTATCGTGTAAGAGTTGGGGTGTGTCAGAAACATGGCGGACCACATTTATAGATATTTAGCAGCTACGTCGTTAGGCTTTTAATTTAAAATAAAATAAGCTAATTCCCAGCACAAAAAAATAATAATATCGGTGACTGCAGTCATAAACACGACTTCCCAACTTGTAAAACCCCAGATAGCACACGTACGTCTGCAAGATGTCTGTTAAAGATCACTTTATCTGGAAAGCATCTGCTGTTTACTAACATCTGACAGACATCTTTAAGATGTCAGTTTAACATACATTCTAAATCATTACATCTTAGAGACATCTTCTAAACGTCTATTTGACATCTGACAGGAAATGTCCTACCCAGATAGCACAAGTCTATTTGATGTGATGTTTACATCTGGAAGATGTATTTTTAAGACGTATTTTTGCTCATCTGCAATACGTCTATAGGACGTTTCCTGTCAGATGTCAAATAGACGTTTAGAAGATGTCTCTAAGATGTAATGATTTAGAAAGCATGTTAAACTGACATCTTCTAAACGTCTATTTGACATCTGCAGGAAACGTCCTATAGACGTATTGCAGATGAGCAAAAATACGTCTTCCAGATGTAAATATCACATCAAATAGACTTAGCACAAGGCTGTTTGATCTCCTATTTACATCTGGAAGACGTATTTTAAAGAGTATTTGCTCATATGCAAGACGTCTATAGGACGTTTCCTGCAGATGTCAAATAGACGTTTAGAAGATGTCTTTAAGATGTAATGATTTAGAATGCATGTTAAACTGACATCTTATAAACATCTCTTTGACATCTGACAGGAAACGTCCTAAAATACGTCTTCCAGATGTAAATAGGACATCAAATACCATTGTGCTATCTGGGTTGTGCTATCTGGGATAGACGTATTGGAGATGTGCAAACACTCTAAAAAATATACGTCTTCCAGATGTAAACATTACATCAAATAGACGTCTCTGTGATGTACGCGAGCTATCAGGGACAACTTGAATGCACCACTCTTTTGGTGTAGCCTACTTTTTTTTGCATACTATCAGGGAGGGAAGTCTCCAATTTCGGGTGCAGTGAGCGTCTCGTCGACTTGGCAAAATCACTTACCCAACTGTTCTTTGTGGATGAGCCAAAGCCGCCACACCAGGCACGCATTATGCAAAGTGTAGAAACCAAGCAACCTTTCGACAACAATCTTAGCAACCACGTTTAAATGCTCTGGCATTGAAAGTGACTTTTTACAGACGTTTTTCAAGATGAAATGTAAAATGTAATTGATAACCGCGGTTCTAACGATCATGAAACACAGACTTGCTGGAACAATGACTGATTCCATGCTGTTTTGTTTAGCAGTGTTTCTAATTTTACTTGGGCTTTGTTTCATTTCCCCATTTACAGAGCACATAATCAATTTGAGATGAAGAGAAAAGGTCTGATTTATTGTGATCCTCATATTATTGTCCCCGCGTCGTATAAATATTCAGACATGGCGGCGAGAAAACCGGCTGGCTCATTCATAACCGCCATAACGAGATCATTTTACCGATCGTAACATGCAAATAGACCCGTAATGAACAGCAACAAGGAAAAACTACAGGCTCAAAAGCACACTAGATTATTTTATTAGTTTTTGTTTTTCTAATAAGGAACACTACAATTTTCTCATATTTCTTTTTTTCTCTCTCACTAGAACAGTTCTAAAGTTGAGGTATAAAAGGAGTTTATACAGACTACCAAGTCTGAAAATGGTGGGGTTTATATACAAGTGAAATGGAGAGAGGAGAGGTAGAGAGGAGGGAGAGAATGGTAAATACAGAAGGAAGAGTGTACTACAATTCTAGTAAAATAATGATAAAAAATAAAGGAAAAAAACAACACTGATGGCATTTGATAAGGTGCTGTGGAATCCACCTCAGATCATAATCACAAATTGGCAAACAGTTTATCGGTTCACTTAAGTAAAACAGGTCATGGGGGTAAAAAGACATTTCAGCCAGATCTACCAGATATGTAGTGTTCAAAATCATCATTCTGTTACATGTACTCCAATAAAACGTCTCAATCTGTCAATTTCGTAGTGTGAGGGAATTTTCATAGCAACCTCAAAACAAATGCGACCAGCTCGGACAAAACCACACACAAAAACAATAACTCGAGACTCCCGATCCCAATAAAATGTAACTGAAACGCTAAAATGAATATTACAAAGACTAACAAATATTACTCTTGCTCATGAGCGAATCCAAAACCCCCAGCGATAAAAAAACAAACAAAAAAATAAAAGCGTACAAAAAGAGAAAATACACTGAAACATTCCACAATCTGTACAGTGACATCCATAGATGACTGATAGAAAACAAAACAAAAAAACGAAATTTGGTGTAGTAATAGCATTAGTTGGGAGATATCCATGTGAAATGTTTAGAACTAGCAGTAATCTATAGAGGACACAATGATCTGAATAATAGCTTGAAAAGCTCCTCAGAGTTTGTTTTTCCATGTGTACATATAAACAAAACCCCAATTTACATTTCAATCTTATTAAGTCCTTTGTGTAATATATAGAATTTCCATTCATTTATCAAAACGCCCTGGTGCTTCCGTGACTAAAGGTAAACTTGGGGGGGGGGGAAGAGAGAGGAAAAAAAAAAAAAAGCGGGGATACAAAAACAACTCGTCCGTCTTGTCTGGAAAAAACTAAATAGAAATTCATTTGATGTTCCTCTACCAGCTTTAGTCCATCTGTTTCAAATCACGACACATCCAGTGCTTATTTTTGGTTAAATTTGAAAGGAGAAAAGCCCTTGTTGCTTGGCTATGTCAACTGATTACTAAAAAAACAAAAAAAAAAACAAAAGAGTTCCTTTGTTTAGTGAAATTGTAGGCAACAACAATAAAAAATAAAAAACTAAAAAGACAGCATGCTTTACCAAGGAACAGGTGCTTTCAATTGCACGTACAATACAATCAGTTCAAAAGCACGAGCGAGTGACGAGACAACCCGACCCTTATAAAACAGACACCCGTACACACAACACAGTAACGTGAGCAGCCGTGGCGCACACGGCTAATCAAAAGTAACAAGCTTCTCCTAGTCAGAATTATTGGCATGGCCTCCTCAGAAAGGTTCGGGTATCGTGGTCAGTGTGTCACGGATGCCTGTTACGAAATCGTGCGATCGATAAAATACCACGGAAGTCCTAGTGAAACCAAACGCCAGCTGGAAGTGCTGGTTCGGGCAGTATGACGTGTCGTTTTTTTGTTTCTGGAGTTGTTTATTTGGTCTGTTTACTTACACACACCCCCCCCTCCTTTTATAGTATCTTTTTTTTTTTTTTTAAAAACAAAAAACCAAACGTTAGGCTAAATGGAATCACTAAAACATCTCAACACCCTACATGCATGGAAGACAGTGGAATATCTTTTTTTCTTTCCCTTTAAAAATATTTCTAAACACCCACCCCCATGTCCCACTCCCAATCTAAACAAACACTCCAGCTATCCGTCCAACCCCTTTCCCCCCAAACAAGGTTGAGTTCCTGTCGAGTCTTTTATTTGGTGGCTGGTGCATCTTTGTGGGGGGTGAAAAAATAATAAAAAAAACACTGGCTAAACTATTAAAAACAAGAAGGTCGATGTCAACATCTGTTGAGAAAGTGGACAAGTAGCGAGGAAACGTGAAATCAATCGCCCTTCGTCTCCTCCGCACCCAAGTGTTCAAATATCCGGCGTACCTTTACACGGGTGGATTCCTCTCCATCCGACCACCAGCTCAAAGTGTGATTGATGGGATTTGTGCTTAACACAACGTTGAACAATGCAGGACAGATTGTTTTGAGAGAAACGCTTGCTTCGCTTAGCGATATTGGAAACCATATTTAAAAAGCAGACTAAATGGCGTTCTCATGGGTCAGTTGTCTGAGGTTGTTCTTCGACGAGCGGAAGGTGCGACAACCGTTGACAGCACTTTGGTACAAGCAAGGAGGGAGTTGTTGCGTAATCCCCATCATGACGGGTCGGAACAGGAAAGGTAACGTGGAGTTGGGCGGAAACGGTCCACACAAAGACTGCTGAAGAGGATGTGGGGTTTATTCAGACTCATCCACAGCAAATGTGACGTTCTGCGTCTTTTGCACGAGGGGAGCGTGTGTGTGTGTGTGTTTGTCAGTCTGGTTCAGCCTAAGAACCCTGGCACACCATGAAGAGGAACGAGGACTATGGAAGACCTTTAGAGTGAAGGACGAAAGCTGTGAGAACAGGCGAGACAGGATGATGAGATGCTGCGTGTCAGTGTGTGTGCGCGTGTGTGTGTGTGTGGCGTATCGCGAGCTGCATTAGCTGGAGGTGTCGGAGTGGATGCTGCCAGGAGGTCCTGGTGGAGAGGTGATGGAGGAAGGGTTGGTGTTGTCTTGCCAGCTGTTGTTAGCCTGTGGAGAGAGTCACAACAACAGGATGAGGTGAGGAAACATGCAATGACACTGTAGACATTTCAACATGAATTTCCACAGCAAAACAAAAAGGAGTCATTAAAGGAGTAGTTCACTTTAAAAAAAAAAAAAAGCTTTTGCTGATAATTTACTCACCCCCATGTCATCCAAGATGTCCACGTCTTTCTTTCTTCAGTCGAAAAGAAATTAAGGTTTTTGATGAAAACATTCCAGGATTTTCTCCATATAATGGACTTCATTGGGAACCAAATGAGAGTTTCAGTGCAGCTTCAAAAGGTTTTAAACGACACCAGACGATGAATAAGGGTCTTATCTTTTGTCGAGTCATGACTCGAAGGGTCCTAGATTTGTTCATTTTGTTGAACGAGTTCGAACAGGAGAGTCACGAACGCTCATCACAGAACAGAGCAAGGCGAGCATTTGTGCTTATAAAACTTAAATTTTTAATTTATTTATTAAATGAGTGATCGTTTCGTTTGATAAAACCCTAATTCATCATCTGGTGTCGTTTAAAGCCCTTTGAAGTTGCACTGAAACTGTCATTTGGACCTTGAACCATTTGGTTCCCATTGAAGTCCATTATATGGAGAAAAATCCTGGAATGTTTTCATCAAAAACCTTAATTTCTTTTCGACTGAAGAAAGAAAGACATGGACATCTTGGATGACATGGGGGTGAGTAAATTATCAGCAAAAGCTTTTTTTAAAAGTGAACTACTCCTTTAAGTTCAAGTCCTTGTATATATGCAAATGTTGCTTGTTTATACTAAAGATTATACACGATGATTTAAAAGTTTAGTTTAAATAGATGCAAAACATCAAACGATTGAATGCATCAAGGTTTTTCCTCTCCCTTCTGTCACCTGATGGAGTTTCGGATTCCTTGCCACTGTCGCCTCTGGGTTGCATAGTTGGGGATATTTAATATTCAACAATGTTATTGATATTACTGCACTGATAATGTTGAAAGAGCGATGACGTCACTGTTTTCAGCAGAACTGCTTTATAGATGAAATATAGTACTTTGACGCTCTTTCCAACGAAACTCACTTTAGCCGAACATGCAGCATTCAGATGCATCTAACTCTCATTATTAACCACTACAAGTTTCCTATTGCAGTTTTTAATGTAGAAATAGGAAACATACAAGCCACCGTTTGCACGCAGAAGACATGAGGTCATACACAATAGACCCCAAGCAACCCCAAAGTGGTTTCCTCCTCCATTTCTTCTATAGTTTTTTAGCTTGAGAGTGTGTGTATGGGTGTAAGAGCTGCACTCACGTCTAAACGGTGTGGGGTGTAAAGAGGACTTCCTGACAGATCTTCATAGCCTGCCGTCAGGTGTGTAGCACGGTGCAGGATATCCCCCTGTAGCACACAGACTTCACATGAGTATCAAACCACAAACAAGCAACACATTACATTAGATTTGCCATACTTATGTTAAAAGAGACATGCGACAAATCAAATATTAACAAACTGAAAGGTGTAATGAGTCTGAATATGCATCAATGCAGCCTCATATCTATCATCAGTCCCTAATATCACACATCTGATATTCTGACACGTCCCATCGGTTTACATGTATTTGAAGGAATAGTTCACTCAGTTTTCATGTTTGTATTTTAATTTAAGCCTCTGTTCATCATTTAAAGCGTTAGTCTATTCAGACTTGGATTAAACTTGGATTATGTTGTCTTTCATGACCTTTTGAAGCATAAATGTTTGTTGTGTGGACATTTAATGGATCTTTTGGGTTTGAAACAACATGAGGGTGAGTAAATGATGACAATCGACCTATGGTTAAGCCACGCCCCCTCCACTCGCTCGGACAAACAGTCAAGATTCGGGGACAGGCGCTATGGCAGCGGTCACAGTAGGAGACATTTCACAGGAGACAGAAAGATTATATATCATCTCGAAGCAGAGGTGGGGACAAGTCACACATGGTCAAGTCCAAGCAAGTCTCAAGTCTTAACCATCAAGTCTCGAGTCAAGTCTCAAGTCGCAGTTCAGATAAATCAAGCAAGTCAAGTCAAGTCAAGGGTTCACCCTAAGCAAGTCAAGTCAAGTCCTGATAAGTTTCAAGTAAAGTCAAGTCACACTACTAAAATAAATAGAGGTACATTTTTTCGATACATATTTATTTTTGCACAGAAAAGATTAACTTTTATACATATATTATGTATCTTACATTTGCTATATTAATCATATGCATTTCTGTGCTACATTAATATCTGAAAATAAAATAAAATTGTGTTGTTTACACAAAACGTTCAGAGTCTAAGATGTATCGATTCTAAGATGTATAATCCAATCTGTCTAATTCAATTTAATTGAAACGGTCTAAAATGTATGAAATCTAAAATGTAATATCTTATATCTTATATAAATGTAAAATATAAAATGTATGAAATGTATGAGAATATAAAATGCAATTTTTTTTTAAATTCAGTAGTTGTTCTTATCATAGCCAACAAATGTCTTCGGAAACTCCTTTTCCTCGATTTACTGAAACCTATATGTAAAACGCATTTGCAGCTGCACAGCCGTGTATATATCTATGCTGCATATACAGACATCCCAACCTACAAGAATTCATTTCAGGGAGGTATATCTCAATGAATGTAATGTTGGGGGGGGGGTTAATATATGTTATATTAACATATTTAAAATATGTTTAAAATAAATATAAAATAAAAATGGTAATATGTTATATTAACATATTTTATATTTAATAAATATTACATATTAAATAATATTATGTATATTATATATTAAATTTACATAAATATTAACAAATGATTGTTTTAATTATGGAATTCTCCATAATTAACTCCTAAACTTCAGTAGAGAACAATTCTTTGTAAGGAAGGAGGGGTTTCTTTATTGTACATTTATTTGCATGTAGTATAGCATATGGTTTGCGTTGCTTTAAATTGGTCAGTACAGCGCTGACTATTGAGGGTCGCTAGGAAACACGTCCGCGCTGCGCTGACGAATCGGCTGCGCGGCTCGGATCATTGAACCGTGCAGATGACATGTCTGCGCGGCACGAGCTCTGTAAAGCCCCGCTGTCTCGTCCCACTTTTGGTTTGTTTGGCTTCCCATATCTCTGCCGTGCACACGCCGCACGCTATGTATGTTATACGCGCAGTATCTCGCTCTAGATTCCGGGAGATTTTAACTCATTTGCGGGCATCAGGGAGACGCTATCAATATGCGTGAGACTCCCGGAACTTCCGTTTGGCGCGGTTTGAATTGAGCAGCGTAAAGGCACAGATGTCGATATATTGATGCTGACGTCATAATATATATTTTAATTAACTGTATTGCTGTTTGTTTATTATATGTTCAAGTCATTGTCGAGTCTTCCACTTCAAGTCAAGTCAAGTCTCAAGTAACTTGTTCTCAAGTCAAAGTCAAGTCAAGTCATTTTTGTACTTTAATCAAGCAAGTCACAAGTCCTGAAAATTGTGACTCGAGTCAGACTCGAGTCAAGTCATATGACTCGAGTCCCCCACCTCTGTCTCGAAGTCACCTAAAGGGCCTTAACTATGCGTTGGAGGGTTATATTAATAATTTTATTGTTGAGAAGGTCAATTAAAAGCTTCAGCCAAAAACGTACAAGTCACAGTGTAAACGTGATAACACGCTTATCGTTGCAATCACCGTTTGGTGCTACAGTATTTACATGACTCATTCAGCACAACATCGTTAGCGTTTGTTATCTCGGTTATTTACAGATGCGTTAATGAAGCTAAGTGACATGATGTACAATGCAGCTAGAAGCTAACGTTAATGTTTTCTAATGTTAGGCTAACGTTACGTTAGAGATTTTAAAGATAACGTTCAAATACGTTGTTGGCTTAACTTAGAACAGATGTAGACATCCTTGTTTAATTTATCCGCGTTTAGTTGGTGTTGTGGTCTACCGCATAAATCACAGAGCAGACACTTATCTCGGTTGAGATGTGACTTGGTAAAGGGTAAAAAAAAAATACACACTGTCGCCCAGCCTCTCGGGAACCTAGTGTCGGAGCTCATGCACACCGTTTGACCATTTTAAACTTAAAATGACAAGAAAAAACTAATGAAAACTGACTAACTGCAATGCATTTCAATGGAAGTGGAAGCAGAGAATGTCTGAGAGTATTGGGTTAGCTGCGCACTGTGATTGGCTCATTATGTTTGAGGGCGTGGCTTAGCCATAGGTCAATCAATTGTCATTTTTGAGTGGACAATCTCTTTTAGTCTAAACTGCTCTGTGCTGCACCATCTTGGGACACTCTTGTAAAGTGATCCATTCTTCGCTCTAGTGGCTCACACACATTTTGATTTTAAAACCAGACCTAGTCAATGTCACACAGCAATGATGGGTGCTGGGAGTTAAATAATTAACAAGAGAATCAGAAATAAGTGTTCAGAACATTACCACATATATATGGATTTATGTTACACGCACATTTGATCCTTTCCACATGAAAATAAAAACAATAAAAACTAATTGGGTGAGTGTAAATATGGTCTAGGGGGTCTTCCACACAGAAGCCGTTTTTGCGAGATCTTATGACAAGGTCTTGTGACATTTTAACTTGAGCTTCTCGGTTTTTTAATGCCGTGTTATGTGGTCAAACAGTGATGTCGAACCCATGTACATAGAAACTCTGCCAACAGCGCAGTGAAACGCAAAAACATGTTCCGTGTGAACGGCCCCTAAATCAACAGTACAATATGTACAGGACTCAAAATTAAGGATTTTTTTTTGTGGATATTTGTACTCATCCCACCACACACACAAAAAAAGAATGACAATTACTATTTTAACATATAAAAAGAGCAAATTCTATTTACAAAAAAAATATAAAGCAAACAAATTGTTACTAATTTAAAGAGTAGTTCACTTTTAAAAAAAACTTTTGCTGATAATTTACTCACCCCCATGTCATCCAAGATGTCCATGTCTTTCTTTCTTCAGTCGAAAAGAAATTAAGGTTTTTGATTTTCTCCATATAAATGGACTTCATTGGGCAGCAAACGGTTCAAGGTCCAAATGAGAGTTTCAGTGCAGCTTCAAAGGGTTTTAAACGACACCAGACGGTGAATAAGGGTCTTATCAAGGACCCTTCGAGTCATGACTCGAAAAAAGATTTGTTCATTTTGTTGAACGAGTTCGAACAGGAGAGTCACGAACGCTCATCACAGAACAGAGCAAGGCGACCATTTGTGCTTATAAAACTTAAACTTTTTTTATTTTTTAAATGAGTGATCGTTTCACTAGATAAGACCCTTATTCACTGTCTGGAGTCGTTTAAAGCCCTTTGAAGCTGCACTGAAACTCTCATTTGGATCTTGAACCGTTTGGTTCCCATTGAAGTCCATTATATGGAGAAAATCCAGGAATGTTTTAATCAAAAACCTTTATTTCTTTTCGACTGAAGAAAGAAAGACATGGACATCTTGGATGACATGGGGGTGAGTAAATTATCAGCTAAGGTTTTTAAAGGTGAACTACTCCTTTAAAAAAAAAAAGAAAAAAAAAAAGAAAAAACTTACACCTAATCCATATTATCCAGCGAGATAACTTCACCTCAGTGATATTTCAATTAGCATTATTTGTAAAAAAAATAGTTTGATGCGTTACAAAACATCAATTGTTTGGCTTTATGAGGGACGTGCAATACTAGTGTGATGGGGCGAGTGACTGTTCCAAAACATTGACACTAAACACTCTCAGGGTGTTTTTACACTGGCAGTTTAGTTCGAACGCGGTACGGTTCGCATGAAAAACTGGTAACGTGAAAGCGGTCATAAGAGTACCGAGGTACCGAACCCGAGACTACCTGTAGGAGGTTGTCAGAGTTCGGTTACACTGGCACTGAATTCACCAAATTCAGAAAAAAACCCCCCCACAGTTTTCCATCATGCATGTTTGTGATGATGTAAGATAGGGCTGTTGGAATGAATTCCAAAATTCGAATATAATTTGAATATTAAAAAAAAAAAAAATACTATTCGAATGCTAACTAACGTTACTATTCGAATACTGCTTTTATATATATTTAAAAATAAATATACTTCCGAAGTGACCAGGTGTTAACGGGCCCTTATCGCCTTCTTATTAACAATAGGAGAGCGTGGGACTAGCTTTCGCGTGGCACATTCGCAAGTTCTTGTTCACTCCCTCTCTGCCATGCACGTGCCGCGCGCTATGTATGTCATGCGCAAATTCCGGGAGATTTTAACTAATTTGCGGCCATCAGGGAGACGCTATCAATATGCGGGAGACTCCTGGAACTGATATGACGATCACATCACCTCAAATCTGAGCCCCATTTCATCAAGCCAACACGCCGCAATCTATCGCAAATCAAAGTGAAAGTAAGTCGCAGACGCTTAACACTATCATCTTCATTAAAAGTAAAGGAACCAAATGATATTACCAGGGCTGTTGCCACTCTCCCTTATTGCTGTCTTTGCTGATTTTGAAATTAGCCGATCAATAAAATGCAGCTCAAATCTGTTGCTTTCGGTGACGTGCACTTCATGACATCTGTATATAGCGCGGGAATTGAAGATCGGATTTATATCTATTTTGCAAAAACACATTTACGTGAGCAGATGTAAATGGAATCGTTGTGATAAATCAGAGCTATCCGATCTGAGAAAACGCATGAAAAATGTTTATTGTAGTAATGTTAGATGTCCCTCTAGTGGGCCGAACGTGTAACAACAACCACAGGCTATAGTGGCATTGACGATCCATAAGAATGTGTAATGTCGTAAATATTAATAATAGGATAAATTTGAGCATTTAATATTAGAATATTATTCAAATATTATTCGAATATTACATAAAAATAAGGAATGGAATTCGAATAGTATAATAGAGGAAGATTGACAGCCCTAATGTAAGATCCACCAGGGTTCAACAGAATCAAGTTGAGTGTTAAACAAGACCAACGCTCTGGCAGGCGCCGGGAACAAAACAAACCGCAGCAAATGTGCCCAGTGTAAAAACGCCCTCAGTGGGCATCAGTGCATCCTTTCTGTTGAGCCCTAATGGGGGTCTTGATGTGACTCATTCATTTAACAGGAAGTGGATAAAGGACGTAGCTGTTGATGACTGATGAAGAAATGAAACTGAGCGGTGTCACACAGGGAAGATGGCGGAGGATAGAGCTCTACGCTCAGGACTCCACGAGTCCGACTGAGCCGAGGCGCTCTGGGGTGGGAGCTAAGGCGGATGTCATGGGTTGGGGCTGTAGCTTTGAGGAGGGGGGAGGAGAGCACTACACTAGGAGCAGGTAAGGAAGAGGAAGGGCATTGAGGGGACGTCCTCAGTGCCTACCTGCTGCACAGCGGGAGTGACGCTGACGCCATCCCCGTTGAGTGACCGCAGCCCGAGGTAGGCATCTCCTGTGTGAGAAAGGGTGTACGACCCAGATGACCCTGCAGGCAATATACGCAGCCGATCAGGCACGCAACTTTGCCCGGGTTGGTTTTGGAAAAGCCTACAGTGGTGTGTGTGTGTTTGTGTGTGGCTGAGCAAGACGTGAAAATCAGGACAAGCCACATTCCCAAATTCAAGACTGCCATGATAAACAGTTCAACTGCATCCGCCGACTAGAGACGACAGAACAAAACAGGTGAACAATGGGAAGCAACAAAGTATATGCTATGTGGACTGGTCCTTTACATGAAGCTGTACAACTCAACATCCTACTTCCTCTAGATGATGTAATGCATTGTTGGTAAGCTGGCTGCAGGATGTAAAACAGGAAATGTGGAGGTGAGGCTTAAAAAAAATGTATGCAGTGACGGAGAATTGTTAAAAAAATGACAATACCAAGTTAAATCACCTACCTTCTCCATTCTGCTTCCTGAGCAAATAGAGGTTCAACTACACTAACCAAGTGTGTGTGTGGATGCGTCACATGTGAATATGAAAATAAAACTACAAACATGAAGCCAACATAGCATTGATAATCCAAACAAAGCCAAGAAAAGAGGCAATGTTAGTTATCAACGGAAAGACACATATTGAGGGGGTTACCGCCACAGGATTAGAGGAAAACAATCATGCAGAACCAGAAATGAAAGTGAATGTTCACATGGCCAGAGGCTAAACCATCAGGGTGTGAGTTACTTTATATAACGTGATGGAAGTATTATATAAAAAAATAATTTAACAACAATGTGGTCATGCCTATCTATATTACGACAATCCAATTCTGATTAAATACTATAACATGGGGATTCTCCGAACTTTTCCAGCCAAACCCCTTTGAGCTAAAATAAGTGTCCTCTGAGACCCAAAAAGGAAAATCCTCTCATCATTTACTCAACACCCTCAAGACACCCCATATGAATTATTTTTTTCAGATAAACACACAACAAAGATTTTTAGGAAGATAAACCATCATCTGTGAGTCCATATAATGCAAATTAATGTGCGCCGCTTGTCTGACGCAATAAAAACCACACAGAGCGATTGTGTCGGTAATACAAACGACCACAGTGGATGAATCAATGTCTTCTGAAGCCAAAGGAACGGTCCGTGTAGGAAAACCACTCATATTTGTAGCTTTTTAAATCATTGCTTTCGGTCTCTCATGCAAACATTCGTGAGAAGGACATTATGACACATGACGTAAGTGGGTTGTGAAGTACCGTGATTTCTCACACTAACTTCACGACACTCTGTGAACGCTCGTATGACAGTAGACTGGAAGCAATGGTTTAGTTTAAAAAGATTAAACAGTATTTGTCTTTACACTCCTACTGTTTGGTTTCAGAAGACATTGACTCATCCACAGTGGTCATATGGATGTCCGTCATGATCACTTTTGAAAAAACTTTTGCTGATAATTTACTCACCCCCATGTCATCCAAGATGTCCAAGTCTTTCTTTCTTCAGTCGAAAAGAAATTAAGGTTTTTGATGAAAACATTCCAGGATTTTTCTCCATATAATGAACTCATTAAGGTCCAAAATGAACAAATCTTTTTCGGAGTCATTTGGTTCATTCAACGAACGAAACGAACGAATTGACTCGAAAAAAGATTTGTTCATTTTGATAAATGATTTCGAACAGGAGAGTCATGAACGCGCATCACAGAACAGAGTAAGGCGAGCATTTGAGCTTATAAAACTTAAACTTTGTTATTTATTTTTTAAATGAGTGATCGTTTTGCTTGATAAGACTCTTATTCATCGCCTGAATCGTTTAAAGTCTTTTGAACAGTTTGTACTGAAAGTGTCTTTTGGACCTTGATCCGTTTGGTTCCCATTGAAGTCCATTATATGGAGAAAAATCCTGGAATGTTTTCATCAAAAACCTTTATTTCTTTTCGACTGAAGAAAGAAAGACATGGACATCTTGGATGACATGGGGGTGAGTAAATTATCAGCTAAGGTTTTTTCAAAAGTGAACTACTCCTTTAAAAATTATTTGTCTTTACACTCCTTCCATATGGTTTCAGAAGACATTGACTCATCCACTGTGGTGTGGTCGTATGGATAACCGTCATGATCACTGTGTGTGGGGTTTCTTAAGCATCAAACGAGCGGCACCTATTCAATGGCCTTATATGGACTCATTTTCTTTCAAATCAGAGCGAGTAAATGACGAGGTAATTTTCATTTTTGGGTGAACAATCCCTTTAAGTTAATATTGCAATAAATTAACAAAACATCTTTTTAGTAAGCATTTTATTCTGATCGTAATCAAATGAGTAGGCTTTTTTCTCTGTAACATGATGGATGCACGACAAAACAAGATTACTCATAACAAATGAACGCTTTTGGGATGAATTCTGCCTGAATGAACCTCGTTTGATACAGTTTTGCTATATACACACACACACACATACACACCTGTGACCACACATCAACTACCCTCTACAGTTCTACATTAATGTTGCGACGTTGTTTGAAAGCTGTGAACTAAACTCTGCTTCAAGTTGTGCCGACCAACACCCTTCATAAACATTTCTGCTGTCGCGTGGTGTGTACCAATATACCGTCACGGCCCAGAGAAAACAGAACCGTGACGTTTTTTTCCTGCAGATGTTTACAAAACATTTGTTGCCTGGATACAATCGGGTCGACTTTGCAGCAGCGCAACCCGGAAAAACATCCTCTAAATCTTATATTTCCAGCAAGTGCGTAGTGCAAATACCAACAAACAAGCATTATCCGTATGACTGGAAAACAAAGAAAGATCTTATGATGGGCAGACAAGAACAGACTGGACGACAGGAAAACAAGTGAAAATGAGACATGTAGTGTGAGAAAGTAGTCTGATGAAATGCAGGAGTGAGATTGTGATCAGCTCAGTGTGGTTTTACTGTCGTCTAGAGATGACGGGAGGGCTGCTGTGCACTTTACCTGAGTTGGGTGTTGCTGGAGAGTTTGCCTGGCTGGCCTGTGCCGACACATTGGCAGCGTCCACGGCTGTTTTAACGGCGTACAGGTTTGCTTCCTCCTGGAACTTACCAATGTTCTTCTTGTACCGAATTCTCTTGTTGCCAAACCAATTCGAGACCTGAGGAGAAACCACTCCAATTAGATGACGATTTCATCACAGTGAGCGACACCTAATAGTAATAAAACACTACCCAGTCCTATGCAGAAAAGATGTTCATTAATCGCAACCTTTGAAGATTCAAGCTTATCCTCTATGCTGAAATTCAATATCTGCATGAAAATGTATTTGTCCTTCAGATGCCACTGCATAATGTTCACTCAACTGCATAGTTTACTCTACTGTTCACTGCTTTAAATTAACTAGGGATGCACCGATATGACAATTTTGGCTGATACCGATAACCGATAATTCTTTATATTTGAAAGCCGATAACCGATATATTGGCCGATAAATCTAAATCCAAATTTTTGGACAATTTCTGAGAGCCTGATTATAAAAAAAGTCAAGATACAAACACAATTATTTTAATATTGTGTAGCCGATATGGCAGACTTGCACTTTAACTGGATTTTCCTTTTTAAAGTGATTTCAATCATATTTCAAGCTATTCAAAAGCATCATGTTGAACAGTGCACATCTAAAGTGCCTCAGCTGAAGGAAATAATACATTAGTTATTGGCTTTTAGATATCGGCTAAATGTTTTTGTTGGGCCGATAACGATAACATTAAAAATGATAATTTATAGGCCGATACCGATAATGTGGCCGGTATATCGTGCATCCCTAATTATGCAGCTGATCAAAAGTGATAGCCTTAGTAACATCATAAATGTCTTTTACTATGTTTCCACGGAAACGATCTGAAGAGAAAACGCAAAAGTGGCGTTGCGTTATCACTTTTAATTCTGCGTTTAGACGAGCGTTATGGGTGCGAAATCTGCGTGCGTATGGTGACGCAAAAGTGTGTGAAATTCGATGTAGTGTGCACTCCAGGTGGCTAGGTGGCAATGTGAAGTCCGTGCGCCTGCGTACAACCTTCACTGTAAAGCAGACTTTTGCGTTTTTACCCTTTAGACGGGGACGCGGCGGTGGAGCGTTTTTAAAGGACAACTCCGGCGCAAAATGAACCTTTGGTCTAATTGCACATTGTTACCTATTCAACCGTTACCTGAGATTTTTTTTCATGATTGCCGAATCTAAATAGTTTTATCTATAAAAACAGTTTAGCCTATAATGCTAGTCTATAGGGCATAGAGTAATGACAAATAAAAATCGCTTTTTATTACCACTAACAAGGCTCAAAATAGCCCCACAGTAACACGGTAGCACAATAAGGGTCCCTACATGCAAAACGAAGCATTGAGAACTTTGTCAGTGTCCATACAGTTTAATAAGAAGATATTTTATACACACAGTCAACTTCGCGAATACAGAAAGAAGCCATCTTTAAAATATAGTCTCTACCAGTCGATCTACGAACGCTGATCCAAGTGCGCTGAACTGTGCAGAATCTTATATGGTCCGTTGTTTCCGGAAGAAACACAAACACGAACCATTTTCTTCTCTTTAATATGTACATGTTGCCTACTGTTCGCGCTCACATTATCACTTTATTCACATCTCATCAGCGCACTTGGATCGGCGTTCGTAGATCGACTGGTAGAGACTATTTTTCAAAGATGGCTTCTTCCTGTATTCGCAAAGTTGACTGTGTGTATAAAATATCTTCTTATTAAACGGTATGGACACTGACAAAGTTCTCAATGCTTCGGTTTGAATTTAGGGATCCTTATTATGCTGTCGTGTTACTGTGGGGCTAATTTGAGCCTTGTTAATGGTAATAAAAAGCGATTTTTATTTGTCATTACTCTATGCCCTATAGACTAGCATTATACTAGCATAATAGGCTAAACTGTTTTTATAGATAAAACTATTTACATTCGGCAATCATGAAAAAAAATCTCAGATAACGGTTGACTAGGTAACAATGTGTAATTAGACCAAAGGTTCATTTTGCGCCGGAGTTCTCCTTTAAGCCCCAAAAGCGTTTTTTTCACTTTTTTGTGTTTTTAAGCCCCAAAAATGCCGTCGCCATGTAAACAAAAGGCACAACCGATAAAACATTTTTACATTTCACCCGCGAGCGTTCTCGTGTAAACAGGGCCTAAATATTTTGATTTCAAATAAAGTACATTCAAACGATTCTGTTCTTTTGAAAAATCTAGAAAGAAAATGTATCACCGTTTCCAAAAAATATCAGCAGAACCGCTGTTTTCAACATTTATGATAAATCAAATCATCATATTAGAGTGATTTCTGAAGGATCATGTGACACTGACGACTGGAGTAATGATGAAGCTTTGATCACTCACAGGAATAAATTACATTTTATAAAACAGTTACTTTAAATTGTAATAATATTTCACAATTTATCCGTTTGTCCTGTTTTTTTCCTTCGAATTAATGAAACCCTGGTGAGCATAATAAAAACTTCTTTTTTTTTTTTTTTTTTTTTTTTTACCAACCCCTAACTATTATTGTTTTTATGAATATTTTTGCAACGTTTCCTGTTCAGTGCTTCCTATGCCTTATTTCCACCATAGCTTCATACACTGGAAACTTTGAATAAGACTTATTTCATGTAAAATTATTTTGTGTGACATCTAGTAAACAAAATCATTATTTATTGGCGGGTTTAATCAAAATGTTTTATTATGCCATTATGTAGCTAGCTATCCATTTACAGTGCTTAGCATAAGTTTAGTTTAGTTTATTTTTTATATAGCACATATCTATTGCCTCAAGTGCAGCCCAAAGTGCTGTACAATTCCAACAATAAAACCAAACAGAAAGGATAAACCAAACAACACAAAATTAATATATTTAGGTCTCTCTTCTTGGGTGGGAGTTAAATGCCAAGCTATAGAAGTGCTTTTTTAAAGCCGTTTTAAAAGAATGCAACGTGGAGATGGAGCGGATGGCGAGAGGTAAATTATTCCATACCCTAGGACCAGCTATCGAAAAGGCTTGGTCATCTTTCCTGAACATACCCATGCTAAAGTTGACTAAAAGAAATCATATTTTGGAAATTGATCTTAATGCCTTAATTAAAAAAAATGGAAAAATCCAACCTTTAAGGACACCTATTTTTCTTTGAGAATGAATAATGTAAATAAATAAAAGTTCTTCCGCCCTTAATATACAGCGTGCATAAGCCAGGACACCCCTATGTTAAATTCCCATAGAGTCAGGCAGATTTTTATTTTTAAAGGCTGGTTATTTCATGGATCCAGGACACTGTGCATCCTGATAAAGTTCCCTTAGCCTTTGGACTTAAAATATCCGCACATCATCACACACCATTCACCACACCTAGAGATTGGCATGGGGTACTTTCCATTAAATCATCTCTCAATGCAAATCAATTCAGCCATTAGGCTAACTGAAATAAAACCATGCCATGTACTGACTTATGCCCCCTGTATTTTAAGGAAGAACATTACATTACTCATTCACAAAGAAAATTGGTGTCCTTAAAGTTATGGTGTGGTGTTAGTCCCGCCCCTCCTACGCTGTGATTGGACGGCTGGATAAAAAGTGACAGTGATGAGCGCTGCGTTTTATCCAAAGTTGAACATTTTTCAACTCCCAGCGACCAGTAAAAAACGCTGGGTGCTCGGCGCTTCAGCGTGAAAAAAAACGCTCAGCACCTCGGTACGCTCATGGCGTTTAAAAAATGTGGCGCTCCCATTGAAAACAATTGAAAACATACGCCAGGCACGTGGAAAAACACTTTGGTGGACACACGGCCTTAGATTTTGATTGTGTATTCCTCTTTTTAGTCAACTTTAGCATGGGTGTGTTTAGCACTTATGCTGAGCACTGTGTCTAATGTCAACTGTACATGATCGCAGTAGCTTATCTGGTCACACAAATTCTATCTAACATTAGATTCAATGTTTCCTTCTATTGTAAGTGAAAATGTCCACACTAATCCCATATCAAACAGAAAAGTGTAGAAGTTGCCTACTCTAACTTTTAAAGCTGTCGCTGTCGCTGTTTTAGTTGTTTTGACACCAGTTACGTGGGAGGAGACAGAGCTGTCATAAAATGTTTCCAACTTGTAATTATGAGTTCAACAAACATGAGCGATTATTACAAGTGAGGAAACATGTAATTATTATATAGTCTGTCACGATGTGAACACAGCACAAGTTCACAACTCAACTATGCAGTTGAGGACAATTCTCTCTTCAATTACTCACCCTCACGTCATTCCAAACCCATAAGACTTTAGTTTATCTTTGAAACACAAATGAAGATATTACAATTGATATTACGATAGTAAGTTTGAGCTTCCGTTTACTATATATGATGTGCTTCAACAATGTTTATATGTGAATAAAAGCTTAAATGGAATCTGTTAATTATATAAAAATCACTCAATTCATAAGTACTGCTTTAAAAATGTCTTTATGGACAGAGTCCTCTTTAATAAAGGTTATCCAAAAAATATCTTTTTTTGTTTATCGAAGAGACATAAAAAAAAAGTATGGTGTTGGAATATGTGGGTGAGTAAATGATGACACTGTAATATGTGCAAAAAGTGTTTATCTTTGCAATATAATATCAATAGTTACCATCAATAACTACTCATTGGAACGGAAATGATGCTGAAAGCAGAGATTATGATCTGTATATGCCTTTGAGCTTTGCTTGTTGCATCCTGATACTCAGATGATACTCAGACATGGTGCAACGTTAACTTTAATGACTTTAACGACATAATTTCTATATTTTATGAAAACCTAGTTAAAGTTGCATGGTTCAGTTAAAATGAAAAATGGGTCAGAATAACTAATTATTTTCCAGGACATTTAGTTTGGTTTCTTACACTCCATTGCTGGAAAACTGGATAACAAAATTCCAAATTTTGCAGTGGCCTTACCTGAGAGACAGTAATCCCACATTTCTTGGCCAACTCTTCCTTGGCTTCCTCACTGGGGTAAGGGTTGGACAGGTGAGAGTAGAAGTACTCGTTCAGCACCTCTGTGGCTTGCTTATTGAAGTTGCGTCTCTTACGTCTGAGGACACAGTAAGTGGAGAAATCAGGCGAGTGTTTCATTGATACGGGGGTTAATAATAATAATAATTAGTGGAATAGACAAACACAGAGACACACACCTGGCATCGAGGAAGCGAGAGCGGAGGATCATGACGGCCTCACAGGTGCTCTGCTTGAGCTGCATCTGGATAGAGCTGAACTTGCGGTGGATGATGGCCACCATGCGCTCGATCTCTTTGGGTGAGATAGGCCGTGTGCGGGACTGTTCCCTCAGCAGGTTCATCACGTGATTGGTGAACTCACTGCAGGCCTGTTATCAAACACAATTCAGGATCATTACACATGTACAAATTAGTGCTGTCAGTTTAAACGCGTTATTAACGGCGATAACGCAAACCCATTTTAATTTTTTTAATCGCGAGATTAACGCTCTTTTTGGCCTAGCAAACTTTGTAGTTTTTTTTCACATGGTGTTGCAACAACTAGTAACGTTAGAAAAACTACAACACGACACCGGATCTAGCTAGACCGAAAACAAAACAGGCACGCCGCAAACAGGCCAAAGAGTAGCATGTTAAATTTTGAATGGATGAAGAGCGCGAGACGCAGAAATGGAAGGCAATAATATTCTGAATGAAAAGTTAAAGTCGGTGTGAAATCAAATTTGACAAATCTTCTTTTATTTGTGATATTCTAGTGTTTATTATAAATTATATATCTGTGCACGTCATTTTTTTTGATTCATGTACCCTTATAATCTTTAATCAAAAACATCACCCTTCCCTCCCCCATCGAAACGACCTTTCTTCTATTTCGGTCATGTGGAATGGCAAAAGGGTGTGGCCAGATCCGATGAGGGTGTGGTTATCGGTGCACCGCCTCTCAGAGACCGCCACCATTTTATTTGCAACGCCCAACCTCCAACGATCCGATCAATTCCCGAAGGACGAAATCGAGCCCTGCCCAACAAGTTTTTCTAATTTAAGAAGTCATTTCACTCGGATATACGTCACGACAAGGACAAAATGACAATCTCAACTTCCGTTTCAAAGACGATATTTAACTTTTAAAAAGTTGACAAATGTTTCCATTGACAAGACCAACGTGATCTGTGTGTTTTGTAGTTGTGAACTGATCGATCATCGTCGCAGCACGTCCAGTCTGAAATACCACTTGATGGCCAAGTACACACACACACACAGCTGATGCGAATTCTCCACCCCCTCGTCAAAGCCAGCCGACAATGGATGCTACATGTGCACTTTGTAATTTTATTTTGTGTCGCCCTGTTTTGATCCCCTAGAAAGGGCTGTTTGAGACAAAATATTTTTTTCACCCTTTTATTGATGGACGGTGTTACATTGTGTGAGAGATTATTTGCTCCAAGTGAGAATGTTAGTGTGAAATTGAACACTACAGTATGCCAATGTGGTTTTCAATAATAAAAACATTAGCACAAAACAAGACGATCCACTTTTCCCTGTTAATAAGAGCATTAAAATGAGAAAAAAATAATGTGACCAAGAGAAATCAAGGGACATTTGGAATAGACAACGATGGCATTAATGCGATTAGATAGATTCGATTTTAATCGCTTGACAGAACTGGTACAAATATACAACGTTTAAAAATGTTGGTGTCGATATGAAGTTTCTCATGCACACTTAATGTGATCAAAAACACAGTGTATAAAACAGTTTTGCAAAATACATTTGATAAATTTAAAATATGATCAAAATATCAATATCAGTTTGCTAAGCTGTATTTTCAGCATCATTACTCCCCTCTTCAGTGTCACATGATCCTTCAGAAATCATTCTAATATGATGACTGCTCAAGAAACAATTATTATTATAGTCAATGTTGAAAACAGCTTAATATTTTCAAAAATCTCATGATAGATTTTTTTCAGGATTCTTTGATGAAAAGAAAGTTCAAAAGTCAGTCATTTATTTAAAATAGTGAAGACAATTATAAATGTCACAAAAGAGTTCTGTCACTTTTGATCAATTTAATGCATCCTACTAATTTCTTTCAAAGAAAAGAAAAAAATCTTACCGACTCCCTATTGAACGGTAGTGCAAATATGTAAATGAAAAACACTATCCGCAGAAAATAACTTCCCTTCCATTATCACTCCACCAGTGAGAAATAAAAATATCTTACACAAAAACAAGGGCCAGGTAGGTGTCTGATTCTCACCTGTTCATATTTCTCTAGTTCGGAGTGGTAGATCTGGCGGATCTGTGCGAGTTTGGCTCTGTAGTCGGAGTGCTCGATGCTGCCGTCGTTGGGTGATCCTCCGGCCGCTGCCGCAGCTGCTGCCGCCGCCGCTGATCCGCCACCCTTCTCGGGCCCAGACACACCCTCGGCCAGCAGCATGTTATCCAGACGCATGATCTGGGGGTCCGGGGGGTCCTCCTCCTGTACGCCTCTGATGCTCAGCACTGCAGAAGACAAAACTGAGCTTTCAGAAACTGGTCACGTCACACCATGTTGAATCAATGCCATTTCATTCTCTATGCCACAGAAACTGGTAGCGCTTCCAAATTAAGTGTGCAATTTGTGGTTCAGCCAGCAGAGGGCAGCATGGTACCTCAGTGGCAGGGGTCCAATAATAGGAGAGCATGTGCTGTCACTATAAGCACAAAAAGCCATGGGTACACACCTCTCCGGCACTGAATTAAAACAAGACCTCTGTCAACTTCCTGTTATGGGCCCATCGCTCACGCACCTATACGTACATATGTACAAGTAAGGCTGGGGCAGTGTCTGAGGGCAAAGTGTAATAAAGATAACTTACAGGAAAACATGAGCCAGAGGGTCTTTGTCTTTGCTCTAGGCCAGTTTTACGACTCTCAGTTGTTTGCGAGATTGTGCTAGAAATGACAATTCCACATTAACTCCTTTCTAAGCAAGGCCTAGTTTACACCTGGTATTAAGATGCGTTTTGGTCAATCGAATCACAAGTAGACGAGGAAATCACCCGTTTACACCTGGTGTTTTAATCTGTCTCTTTCGTCCGCTTTCAACCCCTTCTGTCCTGATTTCTTTGAGAAGACGGTCCATGATCTTTTAGATCTTTTGATCTAATGGACAAAATAAAATTAGGCAATTTACATCTGAACACAACTGGAGACGATGGAAAAACAGATGGAGAGCATCAGCTTTTGTTTCTGTTCTGACAGTCGCAAGACCAGCCGAACGCTGTGCGCGTGTGTGTGTGTTAGAAATCAGCAATGGTGGGAGAACATCGTGCTTGGTACGTTTCTCAAAGCAAACTTTCCATCTGGCTAATGCACTTCCCATAATGTTTACCCATCAGGTCAATATGCGGAGAGCAGACGGTCTTTTCTCGGCTGTTCGAACACATTCGACCACATGAGAGTTTACACTACGAATGTGTTTTTGACTACCTCTGGAAGTGGTAGAAAGTGGACAAGCTCAAACCGGTTTAGACCCTGTTTACACCTGTATTAAGCATCGCCATCTTAATACCAGGTGTAAACAGGGCCTATATATAAAATAACAAGTAGGGCTGGGTGATAAAACGCCCACGCACCCATTTGCTAGCAGAGCACTGTTTGAGCTAGCGGCAGTGAAGTAAGTGTATGTAAAGAAACTGACGGACACGAAAGTGAACTCGCACTATCTTCCAAAACGGAGGAAATTGTTGACAAAAAAGGTAAAATGTTAATTATATGGAAGTGTTTTGGATATCTGAAAAGCGACAGTTTGCAAAATATGCCGTCGGTCGGTGATACTCAAAATCTTTTTGTTGGTACCATCCCAGCGGCCACTTTTTAACCAGATATCTACCTCTAAAACATTTGAGATATGTAAAACCAGTACACAATTAATGTATTATCTACCTGTCAGTTGAATACCTAAACGCGCCAGGGACTTTGTGGTTCGCTTGCTGTCTTGGTTGTACCTCTACAAACGTTTGAAACGTTTGCTGCCCTGCCAAATAAATCTGATGCAATAGTAGTCACAGCTTTTTATAAGAAGTTACGAGCCAAGCTAACTTGCATCGTTTTGTCAAGGCAGATAAAGCATGTTTGCTAGAAGTAAAATGTTAGATCTTATTTATCAATATTATTTAATAACAAACTATATTGTCAACCAAGCCATGTCATATTTCATTATGTTGTTCTATTTTTTTTTATATACATAGCCCTCAAACCGTATTCACTTTATAGCCATTAATCCTATTATTGTGGACAAATGTGGGCACAGAGGACTCAGGTGTGATCCTAATTTTTATTTATTATAAATGTTATATCACTGTCTTCGCTAAAGTTTTATCTATCCATTTATGGTGTTTTTTTTAATTTTTATTTTGGGGGTATTTTTGAATGTATTTACGTCAAAAAGTACCATATTTTCTATGTAAATTATGCTTATTTTTATTTTTTAATTTTTTAACTATATTAAAATATAATTCCAATAAGTTCTTAGAGCTAAAACCTAAAGATGAAGTGACTTTTCTGTCACCTGGTGTCTTATTTTGGCTTATTTTACAATGCTCTAAATTACAGTTTTTCCCATTCATTTCTATGGGTGCCCATTTTTGACCCAAATACAAGATTAAGGAGTTTTTTTTTCTCACCCAGTTAACATTGTAGAATTGAGTCAAAAGAAATGTGTGTGTGTTCAGGAGGCAAACTTAGGAAAAGTAGCCAAGTCTTGTACCGCTCAGATCAAGGGAAGTATTTTTAAAAAATGTATCAAAACTATTTTGCCCACATTTGTCCAGAATACAGTATTGAACCTTCTGGTTTCTTCACGCATCATTATCAGTATACTCTTCAAACGGATAGCATCATTAAATTAAATATCGTAACAAATAACGATAAATATGGACAAAAATATTGTGATAATACTGTATATTTCGCCACATCGTCCAGCCCTAGAAACAAGTATTTCACAAGTGAGCATGTATATAGTGACTGTTCTGAAAGAACAATGAATATATAAAGGGATAATTCAGCAAACAAATGTGTTACAGTGTGTCATCATTTCCTCACCCTTGTGTTATTCCAAACCTGAAAAGCTTTCTTTTCGGAGGATATTTAGCAGAATATCTTCCATTTCTCTATAGCAAAAGTGGATGTGAACACCATTCCCTTTCAATGTATGGGGAGGAAAAAAGCTGGACATTCTGCTAAATGTTTCACTTTGAACTTCAAGCAACAAGCAAGCAAACAAAAATAATAATAATAATAAAACACGAGTGAATAAATTACGATTCACCAAAATTTACAAATTCACCTATTAACATTGCTCAAGGGAATATCTCAATGTCCGAAATTTCGGGTGTCCGCTCACCGCTCAGTAGATCCTTCAGTGCCCAGACTAGTGCAATGGGTTTGTTCTGTTTGAGAAACTTTCAAAACACAAACAGTGCAAATAAAAGGCCATTTGTTGGAAATGATCAGAGGTTACATCTGTGGATGTTCTGTCTGTACCATCCCCACTGAAATCAAAGCTGCATTTCCCATCCTCCCTTTAACTGATAACACATTTAATGACTTCAGCTCTTACCCTCCCCCAATAACAGCACAGAATTTGTTTCCAGCTCTCCGTCTTTTTTTCCCCCTTCGGCTCGTACTTTTTGAAAACTTTTTCTTTCCCTTGGCAAGCGCTCTTTTTTTTTTCTTGTTCTCTCTTGCCCCTTCAGGGTCCCTCCACTCAGGTCCTCCCTCTTTCTTTCTCTCCAAGTCACATTCCATCTTTCATTTCTCCCCCTCTCCGAGCTCAGGAATGCAGCAGACCCAGCCGCCTGAACTAATGACCCCGATTCACCATCCCTCCCTCTTTACCTCTCTCTTTTTCAGCCAGCAAAACTCCCCAAAGTCAAACAAAAAGGAAGAACACTTTTTCCTCAAGTACATTAAGTTTGACTCAAAGTGAACTCGGCCGTAGGATTATTTCGGTGACTAACACCAACAAAGTTTGAGAATACTGTTGCTTACATGTGCGCTATTTATTACAGAGACAATAGAGAATAACACTGTTGCATAAGAAGTTCATACATTCCCTTGACTCTCCCTGGTTAGGTTTTTTTTTCTTCATTTTTATTATTAGCAATTTCATTGTAGCGGTATAATATATTGAAGTGACTATTCTATTAAAACAAAAGAGAAAAACAAATCTGTTGAATTTTCATTTCTATTAAAAACGTTTATTCTGGTGGTAAATTCTCAAAACTTATTTAAATTATTAAAATAAAACAAAAGAGAAAAGCAAATCAGTTTTTTTTAAAGCCTGACATTCTGGTGCTAAATTATCTCAATACTTATTTAAATTACTAATAAAATAAAAGAGAAAAACAAATCTGTTTTGTATTTTTATTAAACAGCGTCACTCATTCTGGTGGTAAATTATATTAATAATTATTTAAATTAATATAATAAAATAAAAGAGAAGAGGAGAACAAATCTGTTTTGTATTTTTATTAAACGTGTCACTCAATCTGGTGGTAAATTATATAATTATTTAAATTATTATAATAAAATAAAAGAGAGAAAAGCAAATATGTTGACAAATATGTTTTTTTTTTTTTTACTTTTTAATTTCCATTAACCTGTTAACTGTCACCCCCCTTTTTTTGAATAGGCATGGAAATGCACATTTCGAAATTAAATGGCTGTAATTCAAGGAATATAGACGTCAAATTGGTCTTGTTTTAAAGAAGACATTTGACAGATTTTTGTCAAAGTGAAATAAATTAAGAAAGTGAAACAGAAAACAAGTTATTGAAGTTGTAAATGTAAATGAAAAAAAAGAATTATTCATATTTTTATTTAAAATATATATTTTCAAAACCTGGGCTACTCTAAAACTGCAGAAAAATCAAAGCCAAAAATCTGAACAAGTTGTGTTTAAAATTTTAGGTTGATATCTCAAAAAATGAGCTTTCAGTGAGATTTTGTTTGGGCGCAGTACCAAACTTTTCCACTAGGGCACAACCAGACTCCATTACTGCCCATATAAGGGCGCCTACATTTCCATATGTGTTTTGAGTGATATGAACCATCATTTCCACAATCTTCATACAATTTATGAAGTAGAGATCCTATTCAGTAGTAGTATGGGAAGTTTGGCAGATGTTGATATGAATTCAACCTCTAAGAAACACTTACAAAGAACACGCATGTGCGCTTCCTGCCACATCACAAATGGTGTATTTATTTATTTTTTCTAAATATTTCAAACATTTTCAGACCTTTTTTCTATAATAATTGAATGCATGCAATCTTTCAAACTCTTGGCATGAAAAACTGAGGTTTCTACCTTTTTTTCATGATTTTTCATTGCTTTTAAAATAAAGGTCTGAACACACTTTATGAGTATGAAAATATTCTTGTTGCAAATTGATAAATTATGGCTCCTGTGTAATTTATTTTGAAAATCAAGTCACCAAATATGAAAACTAGAGATT